GTATACTCTGAAGTGTATACCCTGTAGTTTATACTCTGAAGTGTATACTGAAGTGTATAGTATGTAGTGTATATTCTGAAGTGTACACTGAAGTGTGTACTTAAGTGTATACTATGTAGTGTATATTCTGAAGTGTACACTGAAGTGTATTCTGAAGTGTATACTATGTAGTGTATATTCTGAAGTGTACACTGAAGTCTATACTCTGAAGAGTATACTCTGAAGTGTGTACTTAAGTGTATACTATGTAGTGTATATTCTGAAGTGTACACTGAAGTGTATTCTGAAGTGTATACTATGTAGTGTATATTCTGAAGTGTACACTGAAGTCTATACTCTGAAGAGTATACTCTGAAGTGTGTACTTAAGTGTATACTATGTAGTGTATATTCTGAAGTGTACACTGAAGTCTATACTCTGAAGTCTATACTATGTAGTGTATATTCTGAAGTGTACACTGAAGTCTATACTCTGAAGAGTATACTCTGAAGTGTGTACTGAAGTGTATACTATGCAGTGTATATTCTGAAGTGTATACACTATAGTGTATAGACTGAAGTGTATACTCTATAGTGTACACTGAAGTCTATACTCTGAAGTCTATACTATGTAGAGTATATTCTGAAGTGTATACTCTATAGTGTATATACTGAAGGTTATACTCTGTAGTGTATACTCTGAAGTGTATATTCTGAACTGTGTACTCTGAAGTGTATACTCTGTAGTGTATACTCAGAAGTTTTTACTCTGAAGTTTTTACTCTGTGGTGAATATTATGAAGTGTATATTCTATAGTGTACACTCTGTAGTGTATACTCTTACTCTGTAGTGTATATTATTAAATGTATTTTAGTGTATACTCTGTGGTGTATACTCTTACTCTGTAGTGTATACTCTTACTCTGTGGTGTATACTCAGTTATGTATACTCTTACTCTGTAGTGTACACTCTGTAGTGTATACTCTTACTCTGTAGTGTATACTCTGTAGTGTATACTCAGAAGTTTTTACTCTGTGGTGAATATTAGGAAGTGTATATTCTATAGTGTATACTCTGTAGTGTATACTCTTACTCTGTAGTGTATATTATTAAATGTATTTTAGTGTATACTCTGTGGTGTATACTCTTACTCTGTAGTGTATACTCTGTAGTGTATACTCTTTCTCTGTAGTGTACACTCTGTAGTGTATACTCTTACTCTGTAGTGTATACTCTGTAGTGTATACTCTTTCTCTGTAGTGTACACTCTGTAGTGTATACTATGTAGTGTATACTCTTACTCTGTAGTGTATACTCTGTAGTGTGACGTACCCTCTGTGTCGCGCGGGCACAGTTCGCAGGGGTCGCCCCATCCCTCTCCGGGCATCAGACTGCAGCAACACTTGGCTTTAGTGGTGTTCAGTGGTTTGGGCACGGAGCATTTACCCGCTTCAAAGCGTGTGAAACAGAAGCTCTCGCGCGTGTCTGAGGGCATCAAACACACATTCATGTTCATCATAAACCAATAAAACACCATACTTTACACACCGAAAATAACCGCTATAAAGGGCAATGTATTGAATAAAACATTGGTAACGCTCTACATTAGCTGACATGAACGCACAATAACAAGAATTAATACTAACCCTTAGTAATACATTAAAAAAGACTCAAACTATTAATATTAATAAATAAAATAACAGCTTTAAATGACAACATATTCTGAGACATAAAATGTGAATAATATAATGTAAATATTTAAAATATATGTATCAATATTTAAATGCATACATATGAATACATATATTTACACCAATTAATAAAACATTAAATATTATTAATATTAAATGAAATAACAGCTATAAATGTCAAGATATTCTATGAAACATAAAATCTGAATAATATAATATAAATATTTAATAAAACAAAATATATTTAAAGTATAAGTATCCGTATTTAAATGCATACATTTACACAACTAATAAAACATTATTAAATTAAATATTATTAATATTAAATAAAACAACAGCTATAAATACTATTCAACTTAAGAGGGATTTAAGAAAAGATATAAGTTAAACATTATGGAAAAATATAGAACACTTGAATGAAGAATATAAGAAAAGTAAGCGATAGTGGAAGTATGACATAATTTTGATTGTTGAGGATTAATTTTTTGTGTTTACATGTTATTATTTAGTTTTGGTTCTTTTTTGGTATAAGAGAAACTGTATAACTGTGTCATCTTTGGACAGTGTTTATTTATTTATTTTTTGTTGTTGTTGTAAAAGGGGTTAGGCAAAATAAGTCTTGACTTCAGTCTAAACCCCTTCGGTCAGTATTTATGTGTTATTTTTTATTTTTATTTTTATTTATTTATTTATTTTCTCTCTCTTTTTTGTGTTACATGATTAATGACATGATTTCTAAATGACTGACCGAAGAAATAAATAAATACAAATACAAATACAAATGTCAACATATCCTATGAAACAGAATATGAATAATATAATAAAATACATGCATCAATATTTAATATTTACAACTAATAAAAGATAATTAAATAAAATATTATTAATACACAGCTACAAATGTAAACATATGCTATAAAACATAAAATATGAATAATATGATGTCTAAGTGTAAATATGATAAACATGCTGCCAATTTTTTTTTTTAAATTTTTTTCTGTTTTAATTATTCTGATTTATTTTGATTATTTTAATTTCTTCTATGTAAAGCACTTTGAATTGCCATTGTGTATGAAATGTGCTATATAAATAAACTTGCCTTGCCTTAATTCTGCAATAAAATGGCTCACACGGATCTATTTACTAAGATGACAAGATTCTGTCTTCAGAGTCGTGTTCTCCGGGATCTTACCGAAACAGCGGCGCCCGTTGTCGGACAGGACGAAGCCGGGCTGGCAGAGGCACTGGAAGCTTCCCGGCGTGTTCTTACACGAGCCGAACTGACAGATGTTGGGCTCCACGTTACACTCGTTGATGTCTGAGGAAGAACACACACATGATCATGATACAAAAATGATGGATAGTGACAATGTATGAAATGTAGCATTTTAACCAACAGTATGTCTTGGGATATCAGGATAATGTGGTATGTGGTATATAAACACACACTCTTACCCACACACTTGTCGTTCTGCACCTCGTATCCCGGAGGACAGATGCAGCGGAAGGATCCGTCCAGGTTCTGGCATGTTCCCGGCTGGCAGGCGCCCGGCAGCGTCACACACTCGTTGATATCTGACCCGTCACACACACACAGGGTTAAACATGTGGGGAAGCTAACCGCATTACACAATCATCAGACGCTTTACACTTTGAACTCTGTTCCGGTCGGTCTAGGTTAACAGGAAGGTTTGGGGTTTATCTGCTCTTACCGACGCAGTTCTTGCCGTCCGGCGTCAGGTTATACCCGTCCAGACACAGACACCTGAAGGAGCCCATGCTGTTGATGCACTGGCCGTTTCTGCACACCTGACTGGAGTGAACACTGCACTCGTCCACATCTGTCAATCACACACATCTGTCAATGCCTCCGCGTTCATCACGCTAAATACACAGCTGCTATTAGATTCAAATGATCTGTTTATAATGTTGATTAACATATCCAACATGACATTATATTCACCATTTAGATGGTGCTCATACACAGCATATTTCAAAATCTTAAATGACTGCTTATAGTAATTACACATGGTTAATGTCATAATATATTCTCTCTTTAGCGTTTTAAATGGGTATTTATTTCTATTTATTAAAATAAATGCAAAAATATATAATTTCGTATTTTGTCTTAAAATAAACGGATATTGCCTTCTGCCTTTTTTTAGTAAATATTTAGTAGTAAAAAGTAAATAAATATACCGTTATATGCAAAAATATATTTCCTCATTGGCATTTTAGGTTATGCCGCACACAAATAAAATTATAAATAAAAGCAAAAATGTTTTCTCTGTTAAAAATTCTTAATCTTAAAAAGGTAGAAAGCATGTGCATTTATTTTATTAAATCCTTTGTAATGATATTTCATAAATTATATGCAAAACTAATTATCTTCTATCTTAAAATGGCAGAATGCATGTGGATTTATTTTATTAAAACAAGAACATATGGGCATTTTATCTTGAGAAAAGGAAAAAAGCATGAGCATTTTTTATATTAAATGTTTTGTAAAAAAATATTTAATGAGATATAGCCAAAAATATATTTTCTTTTTGGACGTTTCTTCTTGAAAAAAGACATTTTTACAAAATAAACCTTTAAAGAGATTTGTTGTTCACATTACAACACAAATACAAGTTGCAACATCAAGGTTTGACTGCTGACATGCAAATTTATACATATTCGTGAATTTTTATATGCATGTAAAAACTTTAGATGGTGCTCATACACAGCATTTAGCATATTTCAAAATCTTAAATGACTGCTTATAGTAATTACACATGGTTAATGTCATAATATATTCTCTCTTTAGCGTTTTAAATGGGTATTTATTTCTATTTATTAAAATAAATGCAAAAATATATAATTTCGTATTTTGTCTTAAAATAAACGGATATTGCCTTCTGCCTTTTTTTAGTAAATATTTAGTAGTAAAAAGTAAATAAATATACCGTTATATGCAAAAATATATTTCCTCATTGGCATTTTAGGTTATGCAGCACACAAATAAAATTATAAATAAAAGCAAAAATGTTTTCTCTGTTAAAAATTCTTAATCTTAAAAAGGCAGAAAGCATGTGCATTTATTTGATTAAAGCCTTTGTAATGATATTTCATAAATTATATGCAAAACTAATTATCTTCTATCTTAAAATGGCAGAATGTATGTGGATTTATTTTATTAAAACAAGAACATATGGGCATTTTATCTTGAGAAAAGGAAAAAAGCATGAGCATTTTTTATATTAAATGTTTTGTAAAAAACATTTAATGAGATATAGCCAAAAATATATTTTCTTTTTGGACGTTTCTTCTTGAAAAAAGACACGCATGTGCATTTTTACAAAATAAAAACAAACCTTTAAAGAGATTTGCTGTTCACATTACAACACAAATACAAGTTGCCACATCAAGGTTTGACTGCTGACATATGCAAATTTATACATATATATTTATGCATTTTTATAAGCATGTAAAAACTTAAATTGTTAAAATTGCAATAAAATATGTGCATTTTAAATTGGCTAAAGCTTCATTCTGATTAAAGGAAAGGAAACGTTTTAGTCGATGCTGCTGACAACGTGTGTTTTTACAATATTAAATCGTTAATTTACCATTTCAAGAGTTTAAATGATCAAAATCACACATTTAAAACTGTAAAGTTTCATTTAGATCTAATGGAAAAAAATGCATAAAAATAACTAAACCTGAAATAAAAATGTATTAAAATTATTTAAACCCCACAACAAAATGACTAACATTTTGACTAAATAGTATTATAGTAAATAGTAAAAAGTCATAAAAAATATGAATAAAACAGTGAATCATGGTAACAGATTATTGGTGTGTAAGTCATATTCTGCCAGTAGTGTAGTGATGTTTCTCCTGTGTGTGTGTGTGACTCACCCATGCAGTCGTTGTTGTGTGTGAGCTCGAACCCGGGGAAGCACAGGCAGTTGTACGAGCCCACGGTGTTCTTACACGTGCCGTTCCCGCACGGCTGCCGGTCGCACTCGTCGATATCTGCCGGACCAATGACATCACAGTCAGGACGGCGTCAGGGCGACGCGCAGCGCCACACACACACACACACACTCACCCATGCACATGGTCTGGTCCGGCGTGGTCTTGAAGCCGTTGTGGCACAGACAGCGGAAGCTGCCCTGCGTGTCGATGCACTCGCCGTGACTGCACACGTTCGGGATCTCCTGGCACTCGTTGCGGTCTGAGGATTGCATTCATATTTACAACTTCTATATTTTTCATTTTCAGTCATTTCATTATGCAATTTTGTCATTTCGTTATTTTTTTCTGTTATGGCGCATTTTATAACAGGATGCATTCTAGTGCATTCTATTACTCCACATTATGGCACATTCTATTATGGCACACTTTATAACGGTGCATTCGAGTGCATTCTATTATGGCACATTTTAGAACGGTGCATTCTATTATGGCACATTTTAGAACGGTGCATTCTATTATGGCACATTTTAGAACGGTGCATTCTATTATAGGTACATTTTATAACGGTACATTTTATTATGGCACATTTTAGAACGGTGCATTCTATTATGGCACATTTTATAACGGTGCATTCTATAATGACACATTTTATAACGGTGCATTCTATAATGACACATTTTATAACGGTGCATTCTATAATGACACATTTTATAACGGTACATTCTATTATGGCACATTTTAGAACGGTACATTCTATAATGACACATTTTATAACGGTGCATTCTATAATGACACATTTTATAACGGTGCATTCTATTATAGGTACATTTTATAACGGTACATTCTATTATGGCACATTTTAGAACGGTGCATTCTATTATGTCACATTTTAGAACGGTGCATTCTATTATGGCACATTTTAGAACGGTGCATTCTATTATAGGTACATTTTATAACGGTACATTTTATTATGGCACATTTTAGAACGGTGCATTCTATTATGGCACATTTTATAACGGTACATTCTATTATGGCACATTTTATAACGGTGCATTCTATAATGACACATTTTATAACGGTGCATTCTATAATGACACATTTTATAACGGTGCATTCTATAATGACACATTTTATAACGGTGCATTCTATTATGGCACATTTTAGAACGGTACATTCTATAATGACACATTTTATAACGGTGCATTCTATAATGACACATTTTATAACGGTGCATTCTATTATAGGTACATTTTATAACGGTACATTCTATTATGGCACATTTTAGAACGGTGCATTCTATTATGCCACATTTTATAACGGTACATTCTATTATGGCACATTTTAGAACGGTGCATTCCATTATGGCACATTTTATAACGGTGCATTCTATTATGGCACATTTTATAACGGTGCATTCTATAATGACACATTTTATAACGGTGCATTCTATAATGACACATTTTATAACGGTGCATTCTATAATGACACATTTTATAACGGTGCATTCTATAATGACACATTTTATAACGGTGCATTCTATAATGACACATTTTATAACGGTGCATTCTATAATGACACATTTTATAACGGTGCATTCTATAATGACACATTTTATAACGGTGCATTCTATAATGACACATTTTATAACGGTGCATTCTATAATTACACATTTTATAACGGTGCATTCTATTATGGTACATTTTATAACGGTGCATTCTATAATGACACATTTTAGAACGGTGCATTCTATTATGGCACATTTTATAACGGTGCATTCTATTATGGCACATTTTATAACGGTGCATTCTATTATGGCACATTTTACAACGGTGCATTCTATTATGGCACATTTTACAACGGTGCATTCTATAATGACACATTTTATAACGGTGCATTCTATAATGACACATTTTATAACGGTGCATTCTATAATGACACATTTTATAACGGTGCATTCTATAATGACACATTTTATAACGGTGCATTCTATTATGGCACATTTTATAACAGTGCATTCTATTATGGCACATTTTATAACGGTGCATTCTATAATGACACATTTTATAACGGTGCATTCTATAATTACACATTTTATAACGGTGCATTCTATTATGGTACATTTTATAACGGTGCATTCTATAATGACACATTTTATAACGGTGCATTCTATAATTACACATTTTATAACGGTGCATTCTATTATGGTACATTTTATAACGGTGCATTCTATAATGACACATTTTAGAACGGTGCATTCTATTATGGCACATTTTATAACAGTGCATTATATTATGGCACATTTTATAACGGTGCATTCTATTATGGCACATTTTACAACGGTGCATTCTATTATGGCACATTTTACAACGGTGCATTCTATAATGACACATTTTATAACGGTGCATTCTATAATGACACATTTTATAACGGTGCATTCTATAATGACACATTTTATAACGGTGCATTCTATAATGACACATTTTATAACGGTGCATTCTATTATGGCACATTTTATAACAGTGCATTCTATTATGGCACATTTTATAACGGTGCATTCTATAATGACACATTTTATAACGGTGCATTCTATAATTACACATTTTATAACGGTGCATTCTATTATGGTACATTTTATAACGGTGCATTCTATAATGACACATTTTATAACGGTGCATTATATTATGGCACATTTTATAACGGTGCATTCTATTATGGCACATTTTACAACGGTGCATTCTATTATGGCACATTTTATAACGGTGCATTCTATAATGACACATTTTATAACGGTGCATTCTATAATGACACATTTTATAACGGTGCATTCTATTATGGCACATTTTAGAACGGTGCATTCTATTATGGCACATTCGAGTGCATTCTAAAAGACACATTATAGCACATTTATTATGGTGCATTGTGAGCAAAATTTCAGAAATCATTAAGTAAATTATGACAGCTTAAATTATTTTATTATACCACAGTTCTATGAATGCCAAATTCTAGTGTGTAAATTCCCCTGTGGATGTTGAATGTTATTGTTGAGAGCTGGAGACTCACCCACACACGCTCCGCTGGGCGACAGCTTGAATCCGGCCGAACACTCGCAGCGGTAACTCCCGGGGATGTTGATGCAGTTAGCGTTGCGCTGGCACAGGTTGTCGCCGCTATTGCACTCGTCGATATCTGTGGTGGGAAAAGTCCAGAAGGCGTGAGTCGAGAAACACGACACCTGTCTTTGGTAAAAATGCGTGGTTACCTTCACATATGAGCAGGATGTTGTTGTAGCTGAAGCCCATGCGACACTCGCAGCGGAAGCTCCCGATCTGGTTGATGCACACGCCGTTAGCGCAGAGGCCCGAGATCTCGCGACACTCGTCGATGTCTGACGGAGGAAAAGTTCGTATGATCAGGGGTGTGTTTCGTAACTCGCTGCTTCACTACGATAGTACGATGCATCGCTGAAGAAATCAACGAGCTGGTCTCGACTGTTTCCCGAAACCGTATCGCCGCAAATTGGCCGTTCAACCGCGTTGGTTATACGAATGATGGTTTCGGGAAACACCGACTCGTTGAACGGCTCATAATGACCATATTTGGCTAACAATGCTTTGGGGAAACACACTCCTGTTGGGCTCAAAGGTTCAGCTGGAGTTCACTCACCAGTAGGTTTTCCAGTGTGAATGTCGATGATGAACCCAGGAGCCTGATTTCCACACAGAAGCTGGTACTCGGCTACAGGAGACAGAAACACAGATCTGTGTGAATGTTGAAAGCAGCAGCAGGGTCAGGTGTATGTTCCCGTAGAGAGACACACTCACTGGTGGCCGGCGTCGGACAGGCCTCACACGGTCTGTTCCAGGCTTTGCCCACGTTATACGAGCAACAGCACATCTTCTTGGTCATGTTGAAGGACAGCTCGTTCTCGCAGGTGTCGTTGAAGTTACGATAACACACGCTTTTCCTCATATCTGCACGTCCAAAAGTACACAAAATGACTCCAAATGCCCCAGAAAATGAACATTAGTGCAAGTTGAGTGTGAGTAAATCATGGGCTAATTATATATTTTTTTGGGTGAACTGTCCAGAACACTAGATGGCGATGTCTTACCCATGCAGTTGTTTCCTCCGTTGACCTGCATGTATTCGGGTGGACAGACGCAGGTGTAGTTTCCCAGCGTGTTGTAGCAGGTTCCCGGGCCACAGATGCCGATGTGTGCCGTACATTCGTCAATATCTGTGTGAGAATCGGTCAAAACACATCAGTATTCAGACACTCCAACTCTTTCGGGCCGGTTGCCCCCTTTTTTTGATGTTTGCTGAAAGTTAGTTATTAAACTTCAATACATATAAAATTAAAATTAAGTAAATTAAATGATTAAAATATTAATATAAATTAAAATACTCATATAAGTTTAATGTAAAATGAGTTAATTATATTAATTTGAAATAAAGTAAAAAAAAACATTTATAAGTCAAAGTTACTAAGCATTAAACTTCAATAAATATAAAAAAGTCTATTAAATTATAAATGTAAAATATTTATATATTTTTTAAAAGGAATTAATTAGGTAAAGGTTAGTTTCACAAATTAAACAATTATTAATGTATTAAAACATATTTTCATTGAAGTGCTAATATATAAAGTTTAATGTAAAGTTTAACTTTTTATTTAAAGGAAATCTAATAAATTATTTAAATTACATTTAAATAATATAACATTTAAATTATATACAACATTTATATTATATACAAATGATAAAAATGTACATTTAAATTTTATGGTTATTATTTAAAGAACAAATAAACAAACAAATAAATTTTCATAAAAAATAATGAAAATAAAATACAAAATATGAATATAAATCAAAATATTAATTTAAATATTTAATTTAAATATGAATATACATTGTTTAATTAATTGTTTATTTAATTTACATACATTAATTCATAAAAAAACAAAGGTTACTAAAAATTATAACATTTAATTGAAATACTAATGTTAAATTTTTTTATTTTTTTTTTATTTAATGAAAACATTAAAATTAATCGATCAAAACACAAGGCGAGCATTTGTGCTTATAAAACGTAAACTTTTTTATTTATTTCTGAGACCCTTATTCATCGTCTGAAATCGTTTAAAGCCCTTTGAAGCTGCACTGAAACTGTCATTTGTACATTGAACCGTTTGGACCCCATTGAAGTCCATTATATGGAGAAAATCCTTGAATTTTTTCATCAAAAACTTTAATTTCTTTTCGACTGAAGAAAGAAAGACGTGGACATCTTGGATGACATGGGGGTGAGTAAATTATCAGCGAAAGTTTTTTTTAAAAAGTGAACTACTCCTTTAAGAAATGAATTTACTAGGTAACTAAAAGATGAACATTTGTGGATGGAATGAATCTCAGCTGAAATGACCTTCACAGATGCGCGTCTCCTCGTTGAGGTAGTATCCGCCGGGACACTCGCACTGGAAGCTGCCGAAGGTGTTGACACAGTTTCCCCCCTGACACAGGCCGGGCAGCTCCTGGCATTCGTCTATGTCTGATGTTGGAGAGAGAGAGAGAGAGAGAGGGAGAGACATTAGCACAAACCCCTCCAGGCTTCACCCCGTTGCCCGATCCACACTTACCCTCCAGGATGACCGTGATGGGGTTGGGCCGGAAGCCTTCTCCTCCGGGACACAGGGTCTTGTACTCGGCTGTGAGGAGACAGAACTCGTCAGGGCGTTCGCTCATGTTCGCTCATGACACAAAGACTTTATTTGGCGTTTTTCACTGTTATGTGTTTTTAGACTAGAGTACATGGCAACACTTTACATCTACAAAACTTATTAATCTTGGTTACTATTAATTTTTAACATTTACTAATGCCTTACTCAAATCAAAGGTTGTATTTATTAACAACTGAACTGACAATGAACTAACGTTAACAAAGATGAACTAATACAGTAACGAATGAAGGCCTATTGATCATTATTAGTTCATGTTAGTTCACTTAACTACTGAAGCTTATTGTAAAGTGTTTCTGAGTATATATATAGTATATATTACAGATTTAAATGTGTATATTAGAGATGCACCGATATATCGGCCAATAATCGGTATCGGACGATAGCTATTAGTTTGGTTATATCAAATATGTCAATCAAAAGCTTATGAAACGTGTCCAACTGCAACTCACACTGTGTGTGGGGAAAACCTCTTGAAATTAGGGCAAGTTAACATGGCGATAACGCTTTAAAACAGTTATAAAATAGCGAAGTTAATGCAGGCTTCATTTGAGCCTCTGGATCACCCGTAGTTCAAGTCAGGGTTGCCAGATCTGCATTTTTCCCACATTAAACATTATTATATAGCATCTACTGTCCAATCACAAAGAGCTTGTCTCTGTTACTTCTGATTAGAAACCTCAGCTTTTAAATTCTACATTTTATCACAAAATTCACACAATAAATGTCGTTTTGACGCTCTTAAATGTGGCGTTCGATCGCTGTAGCGCTTCAGTTCACGCTAATACGAGTTATATCTAGAAAAACACATGAACATCAGAAGGTATGTTGAACGATACAGTAAAACTTACTGAAATCTGTATCACGTCTCACGTAATCGTTCAATGTGTGTTTCAACCGCGGAAAGACGTCAATAAAACAGCTTGAGAACAATATCACGTAATGTCGCGTTTGCGTTCAGTGTGTTAGTTCGCTATAAAACACCACAGAAGAGCTTATTTACTGCTAATTATATATGCGTGTCTGAATAAATTTACCATGAAGAAGTGTTTATGAAAACTATTAGTGTAAATATTATATCTGGAAGTTGAATAAAGTAGACCGATATTATCGGCCGATATTAGGCATTTTCAAAACTATCGGTATCGGCAGTTATAATGGCCGATAAATGAATATTTCAAAAATAAAATAAAAATGGACGAAACACGCTTGAACCATGTCATGAGTGTTGGAGTTGTATAGTTTGTCCACCAGAGGGCGCTGTACACCGTTCCTGTTGGCAACCATCGTTGAGTTGGTCATTGCTTAAATAACAATTAAAAGATCATCCCCATCAGTTCTCTAAACTCAAATAAGCATGACAAAATTTGAGACTACCATGTCCAGTTTAAAAAAAACAAATAAATAAAATAAAACATTGGCCGATATATCGGAATATCGGATTTTAAAACCCAAAAATATTTGTATCGGTATCTGCCTCCAAAATCATTTATCGGTCGGGCTCTAGAATAAAGCAGTTGCTCTGTTGTTAACTTTAACCTCTAATATTACAGCATCTTCTTAAGAAAAATTGTAACTATCGGACGAAATCATTCTGAATAATCGGCGGATAAATTTAGCATCAGTATCAGTGCATCTGTAGTGTGTATGACAGTGTGTGTGTGTGTTCCCGCACAGGTGTTGATGGGCGGGCACAGTTCGCAGGGGTTCCCCCAGGCTCCGCCCAGCGAGCAGCAGCAGGACGCGCGGGTCACGCCCACTCCGATCTCAGCGCTGCAGGAGATCCCGCCGTCGCCCCGGTCCAGAGTGTCCAGGAAACAGTTTCCCACACGCGTGTCTGACGAGGACAGAGGATCTTTAGTCTCACACGTATCGCAGCGCATGACAGGAATGAGTAGCGCTGGGTATCGTCTGAATTTTATCGAATCGTAATTTCGATTCAAATATGGTAAAAAAAACTCAACTTGGATATCATATCATCTCAACCTGAATATAATGAGCACAAATCATTAGTTAGCTAATAAATATCAGCGCTGTCACTTTAAGAGTTGCCCAGTATAGATACACACACACACACAGAGAACAGCGCTTGAATGGTTTAGTCATATTGTGTGACGTACCGACACAGCCGACTCCGGACGGGTTGAGCTCGAAGTCCGGCGGGCAGTTGCACAGGTAGCTGCCGGGCAGGTTCACACACACTCCGTTGATGCAGTTCACCGGGTCGAAACACTCGTTGATGTCTGAGTCACACGGAGAGGAGACGGTGAGAAATAACACACACACACTCTCTGTGTTTCCAGTGGGGTTTGTGGTCGTGACAATCGAAACTGAGGCTGCGCTCACATTCAGGGACTATATTAGTTGTATTATTTAATTAAAGGTGAATTACTAATGAATAAATACTAATAAACACATATATATTGTAGCCATGAGGCCCTTTTGAAGACGTTTGCTGAACTGAGCTGATGATCTGCAGGCGTGTGTGTGTGTGTGTGTGTATGTCACCTGTGCAGTTTCCTCCGCTGCGGTCCAGCTCGTAGCCGTAGTCACACACACAGCGGAACATCCCCGGCAGGTTCTGGCACGACCCGAACACACAGATGTTCTGGAAGTTGCACTCGTCGATATCTGACGGGAGACACACAGCGCTGAGTGAGTGTGTGTGTGTGTGTTACTGTGTGTGTGTTGCTGTAGGTGTGTTACTGTAAGTGTGAGTGAGCATTACTGTAGATGTGTGTGTTACTGTAGGTGTGACTGAGTATTACAGTAGGTGTGTGTGTGTGTGTGTGTTACTGTAGGTGTGTTACTGTATGTGTGTGTGTGTGTTATTGTATGTGTTACTGTTTGTGTGTGTGTTACTGTATGTGTGTTACTGTAGGTGTGTTACTGTATGTGTGTTACTGTATGTGTGTTATTGTATGTGTTACTGTTTGTGTGTGTGTAAATGTATGTGTGTTACTGTAGGTGTTACTGTATGTGTGTGTGTTACTGTATGTGTGTTACTGTATGTGTTACTTTAGATGTGTTACTTTGTGTTACTGTATGTGTGTTACTGTAGATGTGTGTTACTGTATGTGTGTTACTATAGGTGTGTTACTGTAGGTGTGTGTGTTACTGTATGTGTTTACTGTAGATGTGTGTGCATTACTGTATATGTGCTACTGTATGTGTGTTACTGTAGATGTGTGTGTGTTACTGTATGTGTGTTACTGTAGATGTGTGTGCTACTGTATGTGTGTTACTGTAGATGTGTGTGTGTTACTGTAGATGTGTTACTGTAGATGTGTTACTGTAGATGTGTGTGTGTTACTGTATGTGTGTTACTGTAGTGTGTGTGTTACTGTATGTGTGTTACTGTAGATGTGTGTGTGTTACTGTATGTGTGTTACTGTAGATGTGTGTGCTACTGTATGTGTGTTACTGTAGATGTGTGTGTGTTACTGTAGATGTGTGTGTGTTACTGTAGGTGTGTGCTACTGTATGTGTGTTACTGTATGTAAGTGTGTTTCTGTAGATGTGTGTGTTACTGTAGGTGTGTGTTACTGTAGGTGTGTGCTACTGTAGGGTTTGTGTGTCACTGTAGGTGTGTGTGTGTGTTACTGTAGGTGTGTGTGTGCTACTGTAGGTGAGTGTGTGTGTTACTGTAGGTGTGTGTGTGATACTGTAGGTGAGTGTGTGTGTTAGTGTAGGTGTTTATGTGTGTTACTGTATGGGTGTGTGTGTGTGTGTGTGTGAGAGAGAGAGTTTACATGTGTTCTATCCCAGAGGGGACTTCAATCTGAATGCACAGACTCACAGCGACTTGTGTCACTGTGGGAACCTAAATGTAGGACCCCATGACGAAACAAGCTTATAAATCATACAGAATGAGTTTTCTCTCTCTCTCTCTCTGTGTGTGTGTGTGTGTGTGACGGGCAGGGTTAGGAGTCGGGTTAGCGTAAGGAGAGAGAATGTATAAAAAACGTTACATCTATGAGAAAGATAGTAAACCGGACACATGTGCGTGTGTGTGATTGTGTGTGTGTGTGTGTGTGTGTGTCTGAGTGAGAGTGTGTGATTGTGAGAGTGTGTGTGTGTGTGTGTGTGTGTGTACCCTGGCAGGCCTTGCTGTCCTCAGTGGGGGTGAAGCCCATCTCACACTCGCAGCGGTACCCGCCGGGGGCGTTCAGACACTGGCCGTTCTCACACAGATTGACGTTATCCGCGCACTCGTCCATGTCTACAGTAAACGGACGGCAATCTCCATCACATCTCAGAACAACCGTGTCATTTATTTGTAATAAAGAGTGTGTGTCAGTGTGAGCTGTACCGGAGCAGGTGAACCCGTCTCCGTTGAATCCGTCTCTACAGGTGCAGCGGTACGAGCCCGGCGTGTTCATGCACTCGGCGTTGGGGTTACAGTTGTGCTCTTCAGTCACACACTCGTCAACATCTGCAGAGATACAATCAGAACCGACTCAAGCCCCGATCCTAGCGCGTACTTCCGGCAACAGTGACCGCTAGCGATAGAACATCAGACTGCGTTCAGTGATGAGTGATGATGATCGCTCGCCACTCACCGATGCATTTGATGCCGTCTCCCTCCCAGCCGTCGCGACAGCGGCACTTGAAGCTCCCGGGAACGTTGACGCAGGACGCGTGCATGTCGCAGTTATGAGCGCCGACCTCACATTCATCGATATCTGGAGAAAAATAAATAAATCAAACCACTTCGGACCAGATAACATGTTTCAAAAAGCTGGACTGAGGGACTGGAGACTCGTACCTGTGCATCCGGTGGAGCCCTTCTTGACGAAGTACCCCAGCTGACAGTGGCAGATGAAGGAGCCTTTAGTGTTCTCACAGTCGCCGTGGAGACAGATGTTGGGGTTCAAGTCGCACTCATTGACATCTGGACCAGAACATCAGGAGTAATACCAAAAAATCAGCGCAATATCATTACTAAATATCAGAATAATTAAATAAATTAAATAATTTAATTAAATACTCGTAAAAACAAATTCATAAAATAAATCAATATAAATTATTGAATAAATTGTATTTTACAACATAAATCAAGATGTTTAAAGGTATCGAGGTTGCGACACATTAAAATTAAATAATGGCCAAATTATTTGATTAAAAGTAAACGAGTACTTACTACATTTCAAGAATAATAAAATATGAAATAATTCAAACGCACAAAAAAAATTAAATAAACCAATCATTCATAAATAGTTGACAATTAAAAAAATATGTAACTTTTAATTGAAAGCAATTTACAAAAAAAATACATACATGCACAAACAAAATAAACAATTAAAATAATGTAAATTATAATTAAATTAAAAAATTAAATGAATCATAACAGATCAAAATGAAATGATGTGATATTATTTACTTTAAAGTAAATTGTTACTTGTAATATTTGTATTAATTAACTATAACTAAACTACATACAAACAAATAAAAATGATTTTAAATAAATAAATTGCGTTTTTAACAATTTAAAAGTGATATACACAAACGTATATATGAGTTTAGTCTCTTGTCTTCACACACGTAAGAACTCAAGTTACACACTATAAATATTTGAAATGACTTTAATACATTTTTTTTATCATTTAAAGGTTATATCTCCATAAACGCGCGTCTCACCGATGCAGGTCCTCATGTCCATGGAGGCCATGAACCCGTCGTAACAGAGGCAGCGATATTCTCCGGGGATGTTCGTACACTGGCCGCCGTCGCAGATGTCGGGCGAGTCTTCGCACTCGTCGATGTCTACGGAAGAAGGCGAGGGTCAGTCTGAGAGGACGCCCCGTGTGTGTGTGTGTGTGTGTGTGTGTGTGTGTGTCTCACCAGCGCAGGTCCTGAGGTCGGGCATGAGCGCGTAACCTTCGCTGCAGCTGCATTCGTAACTTCCCTCAGAGTTCGTGCAGTGTGTGTCGCAACCGCCGTTCATGATGGTGCACTCGTCGATATCTGCCACAAAACACACTTACTTAGTGAGTCTACTTATTCTTATTTCTATTACAGAACAGACATAAATATTCATTTAAAAAAATCATGGAACAAATCAAGGTTACTAAGCATTAAAATGAAATATTATTTACTTTATTGTTGGATGTTTGCAGATGTTTTGGGGAATGTTTAAGAAAGTTTTAACATGTTTTGGGAATGTTTGGAAATTTTTTCGGGATGTTTGAGGATGTTTGGGGATGTTTGGGGATGTTTTGGGAATGTTTTAGGATGTTTTGGGAATGTTTGGAATTTTTTTGGGAATGTTTGCGGATGTTTGGAATTTTTGGGGATGTTTGAGGATGTTTGGGGATGTTTGGAAATTTTTTTCTGGATGTTTGCAGATGTTTGGGAATGTGTGCGGATGTTTTGGGAATGTTTGCGGATGTTTTGGGGAATGTTTGAGGAAGTTTGAGGGTGTTTGGGAATGTTTGAAGATGTTTCCAGATGTTAGGGAATGTTTCCAGATGTTTTGGGAATGTTGGAAATTTTTTGGGAATGTTGACGGAAGTTAGGAATTTTTTTTTTTTTTTGGTAAAAATGTAAATTTGTTAATGTGTTTTTGGGGGATGTGTGCACATGTTTTGGGAAAGTTTGTGAATTTTGTGGATATTTTGGGAATGTTCGCGGATGTTTCGGGAACGTTTCCGGATGTTTCTGGATGTTTTGGGAATGTTTGCGGATGTTTTGGGGAATGTTTGAGGAAGTTTGAGGATGTTTTGGGAATGTTTGAAAAAAAAATTCTGGATGTTTGCAGATGTTTGGGAATGTGTGCGGATGTTTTGGGAATGTTTGCAGATGTTTACGGATGTTTTGGGAATGTTCGCGGATGTTTCGGGAACATTTGCGGATGTTTCTGGATGTTTTGGGAACATTTGCGGATGTTTTGGGGAATGTTTGCGGAAGTTTGGGAATGTTTTAGGATGTTTTGGGAATGTTTGGAATTTTTGGGGAATGTTTGTGGATGTTTGGAATTTTTTGGGGATGTTTGAGCATGTTTGCAGATGTTTGGGAATGTTTGGAAATGTTTCCCAGATGTTTGCGAATGTTTGCGAATGTTTGAGGAAGCTTGAGGATGTTTTTAGAATGTTTGAAGATGTTTCCAGATGTTAGGGAATGTTTCCAGATGTTTTGGGAATGTTGGAAATTTTTTGGGAATGTTTACGGAAGTTAGGAATTTATTTATTTTTTGGTAAAAATGTAAATTTGTTAATGTTTTTTTGGTGGATGTGTGCACATGTTTTGGGAAAGTTTGTGAATTTTGTGGATGTTTTGGGAATGTTTGCTCACCCACACAGCCCTGTCTGTCGGGCGTCACCTGGTATCCCGTGTTGCAGGAGCACTGGTAGGTTCCCACCATGTTCACACACTGACCGTTCTTGCACAGGTTATCGCTCAGCTGACACTCGTTCACATCTGAAAACAATTACAATAAAGAACGAAAAAAGGTTTGACATAATAATAATAAAAACAACAATCATGTTTTTTATATTTTATTTTAATACTATGGTTTAAAAAAAATACCATTTAAATAAACTACTAACAAAAAGCTAAGAAAATAAATGATTAGTTATTTTAAATAAATATAAATTGGTAAAAATAAGAAATATTACTAAATGGTCAAAATTTTAACTGGATAACTGGAAAAATAGGTTTACCAACAATGTATTCAGTCACTCACATAGAGTAAATGTGTGTGTGTGTTTGAAGCGCGTGTACCTTCACAGGCAGATGCTTCAGTGCTCAGCTGGTGTCCCGGAGGACAGTCACACTCATAACTGCCCTCAGTGTTCAGACACTCGCCTCCACGACACAGCATAGGGTCCCGCTCACACTCGTCCACGTCTGCAGGAGAGAGAGAGAGAGAGAGGAAAGTGAGGGTGAGAGAGAGACTTTTTTAACTTTTAATTTACTAATTTAATAAATAAAAAAAGAATTCCAATTTAAATTCCAATTAAATACCAGACTCCCTGATTTACTTATAGTCACAGTAAAGAGAGTGAGCGAGCGAGCGAGAGAGAGACACTGTGACTGTATGGAGGCTGCTGATTGGTCAGGCCTCTGCTGTCTCACCCATGCAGTTCTTCATCATCATGAAGCCGCTCTCGTAGCCGTCGAAACACTCGCACTCGAAGCTGCCCGGCGTGTTGACGCAGACGCCCTGTCCACACAGGTCCGGGGAGATGGTGCACTCGTCGATATCTGCCGGACGCAGGGAACAGTGTGAGCCACGTGTGTGTGTGTGATTCAGACGTGTGTGTGTTTATGAGATGTGCACCTGTGCAGTTCCTCTCCTCCATGGTGAGGGCGAAGCCACTGTCACAACGACACTTGAAGCTCCCGATGGTGTTTCGGCACGTGCCGTGAGTGCACAGGCCTCTGAACACCTTACACTCGTTCACATCTGCAGGGGGAACAGGCTTTAGGACGGTCCCGCAAACCCATGGCTTTATTAAAGAGACTCTTTCATTTAGAAGCTGCCATTAGTTACACTTTCTCCCAGTCGTAGTCATATGAGTGCAACGACTTTCTATTTCTAAAGTCTTTAATTATTACATCGTTATCACGCTCAAAAATATGGGCAATATTAACTCTTACGGTCTGATTTGTTTATGTCAGTGTGATTGTAACAGACAAAACTGCAGGAAAAGTGCAGAAAATGGTCAATAATTTGGTTACACTTTATTTTAAGGTGTAATTATATAATTAAAAGTACTGTGTAATAATAATTATTTACTACATTTAGGGTTAGGATTGGATTTAGATGTAATTATGCATAAATTATAGTTGTACATGTAACTATACAATATTACCAATATATATATTTTATATTATAGACACGTTTTTAATATAAAATAGATCAATTTATATTTAAACGGTGGTAATCCTGCTACAACTTCTAATAAATTAATACTATTTATTATATATGGTATATTTATTTTAATACTATTTCTGTTAACTTATAAACTGTAACTTAGGGTATAACTTAACTAATAAAAGAAACTAATAATACTAATGAAATAAATGAAGATTGATATTTCATTATACGTTTTAATAAATTAAGCTAAAGTGTCAAATGTGTTTTTTTTTAAATATAGTCATCTTTAATAAAATTATTTATTATGCTGTTGTTAACCAATAAATCTATAATTTTTATATAATTTATAAAAAAAATTTTCATTTATTTAAGAAACATTTTTGAAAGTTTTTAGGTAAAAAATATATTAAAAATGTAAAAATTATATATTTTATTATTTTATTTTATAAATAAAAATGTATTATATAAAGCCCAAATATAGATAACGCATAATAATAATAAATAAGCGTATTCCCAAACTTCAGACAAACAAAATTGTGGTTCATTGGTTCAGTTGAAAAAAATTAAACAAGAAAATATTTGTATATATAATAACACTTATTTTAGAAATAATCATATCATTTTATAATTAAAAAATATATAAAATTAATATAATTTTATATGATAAATTACATAATTTGTCATGTTTTATAGCAGTAAAATATAAATAGATAATGTCAGCCATAATATCGGTTTTTGTTTTCAAAATTATCTGCTAAAACGATGTTTTCAAATGTTGATGTATAATATCGGCAATATCTAAAACATTTCTCGTCATCATATGGGTCAATGTTTCTATATTGATTGATTGATATATTTTTATTTATTTTTTCTATATTTATTTATTGATATATTTCTATATTGAGTTGATCTCTATGAATAAACGACCTTTATAGAAGGGTCTCCCAGTCAGGATGTCTCCTCGGTTGGCGATCCCGGGTCCACGAGGGCACAGGCTTTTATATTCGGGAGTGTTTGGTTTGGGACACGCCTCGCAGTCGACGCCCCACGCCGCTCCCACCGTACAACAGCACATATCCGCCCGGTAACGGCCCGCTAGCGGCTCCACACACTCGTCCTCGTCCCACTTCATGTAACACTGCTCGCTTCGGATGTCTGCGGGACACACACACACTTTACATCACGGCTGTGGATCGAGGGAAAGTTTGACTTAGTAAAGCCGGGTTCACACTGAGACAAATTTATGCAAATTCTAAAAGAATCCTCTGATCCTATTGGCTAAAATGTCCACCGACAGCGGAGAGTCACACAAAGGACTATTATGAATCGATTATGATTACGATTATGATTTTTATACTTGTTTAAATAAGTCTTGAATGCATGTTCAGTTCACAGACCAACACATGTGCGTCCGGCTCCGTCCAGCGTGAGTCCCTCGGCACACTCGCACCGGAACGAGCCCTGAGTGTTCACACACCGGCCGTTCGTGCACACGCCCGGGAAAACCTCACACTCGTTAATATCTGTAGATGGAGCAGAGAAGTTATGCATCACCATGCAGCGCACCAGCTGAAAGCAGCAAGGGATTGTGGGTCGCACGTACCTTCACACACGAGACCTTTCATGCGAGCGAAACCTTTCGAACAGGCAGGATCTGTAGAAAATATCAGTCAAACACTTGTCAGTACGGTTTATTATGTGTACGTGAGCGCGTTTACTTTGAAGACAAAATTACATATATGCTGTATATACATTTTGCTGTAATTTTGTCTCTAGAGTATCATTATCTTAAAAATATAAACTTATAAATATATATATATGCAAAAGTTATGTATGAAATAATTGTCAAAAATAAATATATTTTATTTTTTTAAATGACAGAAATTATTTATAAATTTTAATAAATATACACAAAATTATGTATATATAAGCAAATGTTATATATCAAATGTAAAAAAATGTATTCTAATATATATATATATATATATAAAAAATAAAAATAAGATTATATATAATCAATTTATATATTAAATATTATATAATAAAAACAAGTCAAATTAAAATAATTGAATGATATTATATATTAATTATAATAATAAAAAACTATAATTTTTAATGTTTTAAATGATAAATTTATAAATTATAATCAAAATACAAATAAAATTATATATAAGCAAAAGTTATATATCAAATAATATATACATTTTTAAATTTGCTTGTATATACATGCATGCATATATATTAAAATATATATATATATATTCTAAAAAATATATAAATTATAATAAAAAATTAAAATAAGATTATACATAAGCAAAATATATTTTAAATATTACAAAATCAAAAATTAATTTAGTAAATAATAAAAAATAACATATAAATAATAATAAAAAATACAAATAAAATTGTGTGTACTAATATATATATATATATATAAGCAAGTTATATTTCAAATAATTTTTAAACATTTATATATATATTTTTAAAAAATTTAAATGATAAAAATCGTATATATAAATTTTTATAAAAAATAAAAATTATATATTAATTTTCTTCAATTGTGTCATATAATTTTTGTTTTGTTTTTGCACATGAACCAACCGATTTCACAGCGTTCACATGGGCTCCCCCAGGCCGCCCCCAGCGTAGAGCAGCACTCGGACTTCAGCGTCGCCCCGTTTATATTCACCTCACAGCGGCCGTCCTGGATGTTCAGCCAGCAGGTTCCTTTCATGCTGTCTGCATGAGGCAAATACGTGCATGAGAACCAAGAAAGTGTGACAATGACAAATGGACGTTGTGACATTTGAAGCGGCTCCCCTGTGGAGAATCGATGCATTTCTGCAGATATATAAAAACCAACTTGGATATCTAGCGGGATGAGATCACAGTGGGCATTCATCCTGAAAGCACAAACGCGTGACCTATTGCCTTCATAGTCCATTAATTTCAATCAAACGATGTTCGGTTTCAGACAAAGAATAAAAAAAACCGCCTGGCTAGAAATGGGTAACAGTAGCAGAATGTTATCCAGTTACCTTTAAAAAGGAAATAAAGTGGCTGGTTGCTTGTTTAGCATCTTCTGAGCAATTTTTAAAAACATTTAATAGCCACGAAACTATCGATAAGAGATTAACCAATCAGAGAACTCGCTGTATTAGAACGAAAACGAAAACGAGCCTAAAACGAATGTTCGTACTCACCTACGCAGATGGTGTTGGTGGAGTCCAGCTTGCTGCCGTGGGAACATTCGCAATTGAAGGAACCGGCTATGTTGCGGCACACGCCGTTGATGCAGGGGTTGGAGTCGCACTCGTTGATGTCTGAACGAAATATATGACATTACGATATAAATTTATGAAAAAAGGTTTTTGAAAAAAAGGAGTCGTAGTTACCTTCGCACGTCTCAGAATCGGCTTTGAAGGAGAATCCTTTGGGGCAAGAGCAAGTGTAACTTCCGGGCGTGTTTCTACACATGCCGTTGTCGCACAACAACCGATTCACCAAACACTCGTTTATGTCTGAAAGATGCGCAAGAAATTCACTAAATTAATAAAATTTTTGTTAATGCATGTTGTTCAAATGTATTTCGTACATAAAACAAAACATTAGTAGAAGCTACGTTTTGCGTAACTTTTTTAAAAAGTAACGCAACTCACCCACGCAATTCTTTCCGCTAGCGTCAGACTCGTAGCCGATGTTACAGATGCAACGGTAGCTCCCGCGCAAGTTCTCGCAAATACCGTTTTGACAGATGTCTGGATCCAAAGCACATTCATTGATGTCTGCGAAGAAATCGAATACAGTTCGTTAGCACTTAGCATTCGCAAAGAAGTCAAAGACAGCGCGTTAGCGTTTAGCATTCACAAAGAAATCTAATAGAGTTCGTTAGCATTTAGCATTCGCAAAGAAATCCAATTACTGTGATTACAGTTCGTTAGCATTTAGCATTCACAAAGAAATCTAATACAGTTTGTTAGCATTTAGTATTCGCAAAGAAATCCAATTACTGTGATTACAGTTCGTTAGCGTTTAGCATTCACAAAGAAATCTAATACAGTTTGTTAGCATTTAGTATTTGCAAAGAAATCCAATTACTGTGATTACAGTTCGTTAGCATTTAGCATTCACAAAGAAATCTAATAGCGTTAGCGTTTAACAAACATACTAGCATAGTAACGAAGACAGACTTACCTCGTCCATCTGCGGTGATCCCAGGTCCGCTGCTGCATACCGCTTGAAACTCGGCTGCGGACAAACAAAATGTTAGCACACAAGTCAAAGCTAACATATTTAGCGTTAATATTAAAATATCGTTCTGGACTGGAAGGTGTATCCCTGCAGTCTACCTGAGTTGAATGCCGGGCAGGGTTGGCAGGGTTCCCCAAAGCCGTGTTCTGGGTTGGCGCAACAGCATTCAGACTTCGTCACCGCCCCGGGAAACGGGCGCGAACAAGTGCCCATTTTTATAGCGCCGTAGCATGTGGTGCGCATGTGAGTGTCTATGCAGACACGCCCGTCCACGCCGATGGCCAGGCCTGGCGGGCACTCGCAGCGGAAAGAGCCCTCGGAGTTCACGCAGCGGCCGTTCATACAGATGCCCGAGGTCTGGCATTCATCAATGTCTGTCAGGGTTAAACGGAGGAAATGGTGTAAAACGTTAGCGAACAATACGTCAATACGAACAATACGTCATGGCATGAGATGCGACTTCACTGACATGAAAACTAGTGTCATATGTCTTGAGGTTTGACATCAGTGACAACGAATCTAATTGGTTCTTTTTTTAACGACTTTTCCTCAGTTGACGCCAAACATGCACCACTGACGCAATTTAGCTAAAATTTAGCGATTTACCCTCTGTTTCTCGCACATAACGATCGTATGATTTCAGGACAATATAGCGTATGTATACACGAATGCAAATACGATTTACGCAATAGCGATTTAAATTTTGGTTATTAAAACTGCATTGACAAATATTCACCAGATGCGAGAAACAAAAACGCGCCACGTAAGATTTGACGTCAAACTCACAAAAATGCGCAATTTTGGCGATTTACCATCAGTTTCTCACACAAAACCATCATATGATAGATTTTCAGAAAATAACGACTTCAAATTTGATTAAAGACTTACCACCATATGAACCGAAGACATACAAAATGCGTTACGTAAGATTTGACGTCAAACTTGCAAAAGTGCGCAAATGGAAATGAGATTTTGACTTAGCATATACACTTGGAATATATCGTACATGTTACTAAATTATTTTCTTGGCACTTTTATTAAGTTGTTTTTTGGTAATTTTTGGGCGCTTGACAGACGCGAGGGTGAGTTAACCGTTTAATAATCCGCCAACTCCCACACATGCTCACCGGTGCAGTAGCGTCCATTGGGTGCCAACGCAAAACCAGGTTTGCAGATGCACTTGAAGCTTCCGTCTTCGTTGATGCACATGCCGTTGAGGCACATGTTGGTGGTGGCACATTCATCATGGTCTGGAGGACAAGAAAACACAGTTAGACTATAAAAACAAATGGTGGATATTGATTCGTGTTTATATTGATTTGTCATCATTCATGAAAAACTATTATGTGGACCTTCTAACACTCTCCACCAATCCTTAACACAAACCCTGAAACGTTTTATTCAAACATTTCAATGCAGGTTTTTATAGTGTACAACCAAACAATGAAATTTTGTCTGAAAACAAAAAAATATGAAAAGTTATTGAAAAAAAATAATTAAATATATATTTATGAGGCTTTTCAGATATCTTAACACAGACTGTCGCAGTTTAAGCTCTTACCGACGCAGTTCTTCCCATCAGGGCTGATTTCAAAGCCAGAGTTACAGATGCACTGGAAACTTCCATCGGTGTTCACACAGCGTCCGTTTCGGCACATAACACCGTTCACAATACACTCGTCAATGTCTGAAGCAACAGGAATGTATTAGTTACAGTTGTCCACCAGAGGGCGCTGGGCCATATACAGTAAGTGAATATATGCTGACTTTGATTCATTGAAAATGGATTATTCACATTAAACTGTCACAATATTTGGTAGGTTTTTTTTGTCTGTTTAGTGTGTAACGCAAAATAACTTTTAAAATGTAAAATGTAACAAACAAAAATCTAGTGTTCAAAATAAAATTGAAACTATTAAAAATAATTAAAAACTTGAAATTAAATAAAATATAAATTAAAAAAAAAAAAAAACGTAACTTTAAATTGCTAATTTTCATTTAAGTTATTTAAATAATTTTAGTGCATTTGCAGTAATTTTTGTAAAGCAAGTTTAAGTTAATACAATTCCTAAAACTGAAATAAAAATAACAAACAGCACAACAAAATTACTAAAATAAAATTATTAATAAATAATATAATAGTATAACAATAAATCATATAAATAATACTAAAATAAGTAATATCATCTTGCCTTTCAGAATTAAAAAATACATATTTATATTTTTTCTGAAATTAAAATATGCATTAACTGTCTAATTAGTATTTAAGTTGTAAAGCGCTTTGGTGGCCATTGGGTCTATGAAAGCGCTATATAAATGCAGTCCATTTACCATTTTTACCAGTATTTAAGCATTTTTTGATATAGTTTGAGTAAGAAATTTCTTTAAAATAATTATAATAATTTAGGCCCGAAGCATAAGACTAAATACTGTAATGATATTTTATATTTAAGGCTGTTTTTTAGTCTTCAAACATTTTGAATGTAAAAATGTTAGGCATTAAATGAGTTTTTTGGTTTTAAACCAGAATAAGAAGTCACGAACCAATGCAGGCCTGTTTGGTGGGCGTTCCCTGGTATCCCTCGTGGCATTTGCAGTGATATGATCCTTGCGTGTTGACGCAGTCTCCGTTCACACACGGGCTACTGTTGCACTCGTCCACGTCTGAGGGTAGAAGACAGATGTAGGAGAACCTATCAGCACTATTAATCAAATATATGAGTTAAAATACTGGCAGTCAAGCAAACCACCTACAGATGGCAGCAGAGGACGTATTAGACCAGGGGTGCCCAATCCGGCTCCTGCCGATCGACTGTTCATCTCCAGCCCTAATCATTGTTTGCTTCAGGTGTGTTTGATTAGGGCTGGAGATGAACAGTCGATCGGCAGGAGCAGGATTGGGCACCCCTGTTTTAGACCATGGGCCCTATGCAAGCGACGCAAGCGTTCTTTGCTAGTTTCAGCCCGACGCAGTTATCATTTCACGTCCTGCGTTGTTTAAATATTGGGTCTATGAAAGAGCTATATAAATGCAGTCCATTTACCATTTTTACCAGTATTTAAGCATTTTTTAGTTATAAGTATAATTTTTAGTTATAGTTTGAGTACGAAATTTCTTAAAAATAATTATAATAATTTAGGCCCGAAGCATAAGACTAAATACTGTAATAATATTTTATATTTATTATATATTTTTATTTTATTATTTTATATTTTATATTTATTTTTTATATTAAATATTTTATATTTAATGTTTGGCATAAAATAGGTTTTAGACGTCACAAACCAATGCAGGCCTGTTTGGTGGGCGTTCAACGCACGTCCTGCGTTGTTTAAATAGCAAATGCGTTTGTGCTCATCTTGACCAACAAAAACCTGGTGTCCTGTTGCAAAAGTATGTGAAAGAAAACTACAAAGTTTGCTAGGCTAAAAAGACTGCTAATCGCGCGATAAAAAAAATTAACGCCGTTAAAATGGGTTTGTGTTAATAACGCGTTGTGTTAATAATAATAATACGTGGACTCACCAATGCACTCGCCGCGCACGTCCTGCCTGTAGCCCATGTTGCATTCGCAGCGGTAGCTGGTCGGTGTGGGAATACAGCGGCCGTTCAGGCACAGGTTGGTGAAATGCTTGCACACGTCGATCGTGGTCTCGTTCAGCTGGCCTGAGCGCAATCCAAAACACACCGTTCATTTCTCAGCTTCGAACATGCGAGTCATTTCACTGATTTCAACTCACTGATTTGAATCTTCTGGCCGCCGTTGTTTCCGTTCCCGTTCCCGTGTCCGTTTCCATTGTTGTGTTCGCCGCCGTAAATGTAGCTGCCACCGCCGTTGTTTCCGTTCTGCGAAGGTCCTTTGCCGTAACCGCCGATGTTCAGACCGCTGTTGCCGTCGTGGATGATGCCGGTGCCAAAAGGAAGCCTCTGGATGCACAGTCGCCTGTATTCATCTACAAATCAACAATACAAGCGGCCAATCACAGGAAGACATCGTTTTTAAATTGCAATTTACGAGTTCTTGATCAACATTTTCTAAGCTGCAGCAAATAAACTTTGATAATGTGAGAAATGTTGAAGGTGTGTGAATGCATTTAGGTTTGCCTGTATATCATGTTGCAACTAATACATTTTATATAAGTTGCTCAACATGGAAAGCAACAAGTAGATAATGCGCAGACTGAGCTTTACTGACTGAAAGAAGAAAAATCAAAGCGTTAGCCGCGGATTTGGCAGGCTCATGCATTCCTGCGGATGAAACATGGCGGTGTCAAAGAGGAGGGAAGAGCGTAAAACACTGGGGTGTGAAGGTGTGGGACTGAGAGAGAGCGTTTTATTATCCTGAGAGAAGATCACTGCTGACCTGACACGTGTTTATCGGGATTTTACAGTGAGGAGCGATTCTTCAAAGGTCGAACACCTGAAGAAACTCCTCCTTTTGAAATGATGTTTTTGTTGTAATGCCGTATCAATCAGGATCATAACGTAATTTAAAGTTTATGCGGTTCAAAACTACACTCAAATACCACACAATAACTTGCTCTATTGTTGCACATCCTGTTGAAAAAGGAAGTCTGGTTCTTTTTAGAAATAGTTTGACCAACTTTCAGCCGTTAACTACACTTATCGCTATTCAGAGCCAGGTGGGACGTTTTCATTCAAGAAACCATTTTATTGGGCAAAATATAGACCCAGGATGATGTCATCAGTATTTTTGGAAATTTGCTAATTTTAACACTCGCTAAATATCTTTTAGGGGTATGCTAGCATACAGATGTTAACCTTAAAACTAACAGACATGAGTCCCTAATGACATGCTACACAATGCATTTGAATTTTATACGGTTTAGTCGTTCAACACTGGAGTCTGTTAGCCCCTCCCCCTTCCCTTATAAGGAAAGCTGTGACAGTTGAGCGCTTTAAGCGTCCAACATTCCACAACATTCCATTTCCGGTTAGTTAAGTGCATCATTTAAAGTGCACTCTATCTTTTTGGAATTTTCAGTATGAACAGTGGAATTTTCACTTTTCACACTATTTATATTACAAACGGCATAGAATAGTGGATCAATAAGCGGACTGGGATGCCATTAAAAAGTTCTAAAAAGTGCTGAAACTGTCTGGTATTAGCAATAGTAGTAGTAACCTTTGACAAAAAAACATTTTATTGGGAAAAATATAGACCCAGGATGACGTCATCAGTATTTTTGGAAATTTACTCATTTTAATACTTGCTAATATATTTTAAAGGTATGCTAGCATACAGATGTTAGCCTTAAAACCAACAGACGCGAGTCGCTAATGACATGCTACACGCTACGCATTTGAATTTTATACGGTTATTTAGTCATTCAACACCAGAGTCTGTTAGCCCCTCCCCCTTCCCTTATAAGGAAAGCTGTGACAGTTGAGCGCTTTAAGCGTCCAACATTCCACAACATTCCATTTCCGGTTAGTTAAGTGTATCATTTAAAGTGCACTCTATCTTTTGGAATGTTCAGAATTTTCGGAATTTTCAGTATGAACAGTGGAATTTTCACTTTTCACACTATTTATATTACAAACGACATAGAATATTGGATAAATAAGCGAACTGGGATGCCATTAAAAAGTTCTAAAAAGTGCTGAAACTGTCTGGTATTAGCAATAGTAGTAGTAACCTTTGACAAGAAACCATTTTATTGGGAAAATATAGACCCAGGATGATGTCATCAGTATTTTTGGAAAATTTGCTAATTTTAACACTCGCTAAATATCTTTTAGGGGTATGCTAGCATACAGATGTTAGCCTTAAAACTAACAG